CACGTCCGCACTGTCTAAAGTAGATTTTTTTATTTCACAAAATTGAGCTTATACTGTCGCTGTTATAATGATAGGAAGAACACGTACCAAGCGTATTAAGCTAGTCACCCATAAATAATAAACCTTTTTAGAAAGTTATAGAAATTTACAGACTGGAATTTTACCAGTTCTTTGTGTAAGAACAGAGCAATTATTAGGACACTAATAGAATTTATATTAATGTCCTGAGCATAAAAATCTTGTCTCAATAGCTGAATAAGGGATTTTATAATGAACTGCATTCAGCGGCGACCTCCCACCGAGACAATGTGGCCATCGTTGCCGTCTACAAGGTGGCGATCAGGTAAGGGTCGTTATTACTTTATCTGGTAATAATCTTGTGAGATCACGGTCACCGGAAACGACGATCAGAAATTCATTACTTCATACAACGACTCGTTTGGAGAGAGAAAACAGAATCAAAGACGCTTTTATTAAACTGGTACACAAAAACGCCGGCGCTGAGAGAGAGCACTAGCCGATTTATTACTTGAAAATATTGCCCCGCTGTGCTATGTCCAAGATACGCAGTTTGCGAAATGGTTCTTAGAACCACTCTCTCAGCAATATGTATGGGTAGAACCAGCCGTGAGTGTAACGAGTGCAGAGCCAGCGGCGCTTGCTGATCTATCCTAAGGCTGTTCTGTATTTAATGAGCAAATGTCTGCGTATGAATTGTGTGAATACATATAAATACATTCATACGAATTGAGCGTATTATTTTAGTCGACGATGCAAGTGATGTTATTTAGCAAGGTGCTCGAATGCTACACTGAAAGTAACCAACATGCACACAACTAGTGCATTGTTTTACCTATCACAATATTAATAACAACTATTACTTTTTCTCCTAAAGCTCTAAAACGAGGAAGTTTTCTAAACTAGGCATCATGTATAATCGAATGGGACAAACTAAAAGTAGAAGTTGGTTCGATATAAGCCACCATACTCGATATCGTATCGAGAATAGGTACCTTCCAATTTTTGATCAATGGCTTTTCTGATGACGTCGTGCAAATTACTTCACATATGTGGTATCCATTCTATCAAATATGATTATAGCGGGAAACGTCAGCTTGGCTGGGTCATGTCGGGCTAGTTACGAACCTATGCATTGTCACATCAGCCTAGCTGGTGCGTCTGAAGCGCTCCCGCTACACTCTTACTCTAGCGCCATAATATAACTACATTAGAGCTTTTTCCTGAAACGTCACGCTTCGACGGAGTGCAGAATCTATCAAACCCTGTATAAACTCACATTCTCAAACCAGAATTTTCCTACGCGAAGAAGAGCGAAGTTTTGGCATACTCTTAATCTGTAGGGAGGTGTCAATTAGCAAATATACAAGTAGACTAATTCGATCCTTTTTTTGAAGCGAGATATATTGAAGCTGCGAACATTTTTTCTGTACTTCGGCGACTAAGTCCAAACTGGTTTGTTTTTGTGTGCTTTTGGAAATACTTGGATGCCATCAAAATGCCAATCGAACATCTAGAACAACGTGTAGTATATTTTTTGCTGCAACTTCTTTGCGGTATATGCAGTGGAACTTTTTTTAATTAAAAAGAAATTATTTTGTAAATTAAACAAAATTGGACCAGGTGGTTATATTGAAATTAAACTGTTAATTAAATTAAATAAACTGTCGTCCACCCTCAGTTTAACAAAAATGATTAATTTTTACTAAAGAAACTGTGTGCAACTACCTAGAGAACTTCGTTCACCAGATGGTACAAAACGTCACGCTGGTAACATAGTTGCAAAACTTTTCCTTTAATTACCTACGGTAAGAGCTGTACAGTGCCATCGTTTACTAAATTCATTTCCTGCTTTTGAACTTGCTTTACATTTAATATGGAAAAATATACTAACAAGGTAGGCGGGCAATGTTAGTCCCACTATTTTCAGCAACCGCTGAACGTTTCATAAATACGTGAGACCTGTATATACTAGAGTACTATTGACTTTCTGTGTAATAAGTAACACAAGTACAACCTTTCTATGTAGAACCGTGTTAGTTCGTCTGAACAAAACTTGCAAAGCTGATTAACTGCATCTATGTGATCTTATCTAATGATTCAATTAGCCAGCTTCGGCAGCAGCTACTAGCGCATTTTTGCAAGCACTAGAATTTTCGGTAGTCTTCATAGTAGTCAACGGATAAATGAATTTTTCTTTTTTAAAATTTCTTTTATAAAAAAGAAATTTGTGGTTGTTGTTATGTCATTGTACCGATCTAAGATAGCCATGGTGAATAAATTTCATTATGGTAACCACAGAATGGAAAGAGCTTTAAAAACGTAACAAAATACATATATATATATATATATATATAGACTGCGAAAAACCGAATAAATAAATAGTTTATACATTAGAGACATGGGCTTTAGTTCTCGGTAGTAGTTCTATGGTACATACAGAGTCCCAGGTTCCGTTCAGTCTGAATAAACCAAGACTGCGCGAAATAGGACTGCGCGACTAGGAGGCCAACCGCCTACGATGCATGTTCTCCTTTAACAGTGCTTACAAGCTGCCTCCAGTGAGATATACCTGAAACACACTACTCTAATAGGATATTAACTTGACCAAGCTCACAGGATCACTGAGTCACGATTTTTGAGACGTAAGCCGGCGAAGCATAAATACCGTAGTAAAATAGTTAAAACGGGATATTTGATTGGGTGTAAAACGAACCAAATTGTTTCTCTTAGAACAATTGGCCAAGTTGTTGCATAAATCTATTAGGGAGCGCGATACCTGCAAAAGTACAAGTGCATAAACGGAACAGTGATAACTATTGGTGTACACACGTGCTGTAGTGCTTGTTGAACTTGATTCAACATCAGCCATCAGATTAGTTAAATTAACATCAAAGCAGTATAGGATCTTGACAATTGGACACATCCTTCATTGCTACGGGAAACAAATTAGAAAATAGTAGAATAGGATCTACGCTGTCGCCTACTTCACCGGTCCCAGATGTTATTGCTACGGATGTAGTATTGATGATAGGCACTAGGTCTGCTTATTTAGTCGGCACTGTTGCGTGTGTATAATATTCACATTATTAAAGTTTGCTACAGGATTTAGCCTATTTTTATTCTTCTTTAATAAGCCCATAGACTATGTTATGAGAATGGTTGTCTGGCATTAAAAACGAAATCTTGCTGTTCGTACATAGAACAAGTTGAAATATACTGCAAAATAAATGCAGGTGACATCATTCTTTAATGCGTGGCACATGATGATCTTGTTCTACTGTGAGCATAAATACATCCTTGAAGAAATGTCAGAACTGAAATCTGGTATTCTTCTAACCTACGTTTATACTGAAAGTTTTAATCAGTGCGAGCCTTAAAGGAATATGCGTACTCCGTAAAATACAGCAAACATTTGATTAATAATACATTAGTTACACGGTAGCTGCCAAAACTAGAAAGTGAAAACTCCGTATTTTCACTAAGTTTTCACTTAACTCTTCTATTTAGCTAGACATTAAATAACTAGTTGATTGCACCAATAACTAATTCTATTTAGCTTAAGGATTACTTTGTTTTTGTCGAATACACGTGTTAATAAATAGGTTTTTCAAGCCAGTTATTTTTGATTCGTATATTTCACAGGGTCCATGTTGTTTCTACGAAATCAACGTGATGTACTTAGTTTACTTTGATAGCAAGCTTAAATAATCTACCTATATGAGTCATGATTCTGGAACAAATCGCAGTGAGTGAACCAGCTTCAGCTGGTATTGCGCTTGTACCAGCCGGCCGGCAGCGTTAATATGATTACTAATAGCATGTAAGCTAATTTATTATACCTTTTTCACATCGATGTTCCGTCGAACCTTCTAATTTCTTTACATTTCACGTCTTCAGCCGAATATCTGTGATAGATACGAGGCAAGTGTACAGTGTCATTGCAGTTTGGATTTCGATAGGATGCCTACTGCTGAATCTTGTCTTGCCTAATAAGTAAACTGATTCTTAGAAATCAGCTTACGAGGTTGTACTCATTTTGAAATTGTCCAGAAACTGGCGTTGGGAAAGAGGACCGTATCTCTGCTCTCATTTGCATATTGGTTGCAGATGACTTTGGCTTTGAAGGCAGAGCCAATGAAATACAGCCTTTGTATCTTTATTTGCTATTTAAAACGCGACTGCGGCGAAGTTACATCGGAAGATATCATGCGCAACCACAAAATTAGCCATCTGAAAAGCTGCAGGCTGTGAGTATCTAGCTAAACGAGTATCTGAAAACATCACATTATCCCAAAAACCAGACATGCCTTGAAAAGATAAAACAAGTAACAATCCGTTTAAATCATTTGACGGGTTGTTATTCGTTCGACTTTACACCTATAACAATATCACAGGTTCAGGTGCTACGAACATTTTTATTTCGAATCAAGGTAGTAGCATAGTGTATATGTAAAATCGAATGGTATCCGTTTTAGGTCAAATTAACCTTTTTCTAGAGCCACCTAATGGTTTGTAACAGAGTTCCTATAAATAATTATATAGGTTATGTACGATAACTATTACATCTGATTAAATGTCAATCAATTTTTCAACAATTTTGTTAAAACATAGATGTCTAGGCAGTTCCTACGGTTTACGAATTTCTTTCTGTTGTGTGTGATACGTATATCTTGTACGATGTCTTACGATATTGACTTCTACATTTCTGATTTCCTGGGATTGTAGTATTCAATAGAGATAATATGTCAATAAAACAATCGTTTGTGCCAAACCTAGGCTTGAAATACGGGACTCCACGCCTCACCTGTAGAATGCCTATTTTTCATATATATATATGTGACACCTTATTGTAATGCTTTTTAGGTTAGCTACCTTAAAACATGCTCACATGTAGAATAGTAGTAAGCTGGAACCGTCAAAAACATGCAGGACCATTATTCCACGACACAGCCGATATAATAAATATACATATGAGCATAGCTTTATGTTTATTACAATTTTATGTTTATTGCACTCCAAAAAAACGCATCGCAGCACCGACGGACTGAAAGCAAATTTAAGAAAGATCAATCTAAATGTGCTTTTATGGAAGATAATTAGATAATTAGAAATGTTAGACGAACAATGCTCAAGAGATCGTTTTACATACCTTTGCACCCGAGGTATCTGTCTTGAGAATTCGTTTAGTTGTAACATTTGGATTAAAGGCATCCTCAGTTTCATTTGTCGATGTGACTTTCATTAGATCTGCTACTTCGAGGTCGTTTATCCCCGTTCCATTAGTAAAATCTCCAGTTGTCTTACTAAATGACTTTTGGGCAGCATCAACGCATGGACTGCTTATTTTTCCCTGAGCTGTGTTAACTGTGCTATGCTGGCGCGATTCTCTACACGAGTTAATAGCGGCAGCTAATAATTCGATGAATTTCGTGTTTTCTTTCTCCACCAGTCTTAAATCGAACAGTGGTACCATATGGCAACTAATGATGGTATATACAACAAGTAGCGAAGATATCGCGATTGACGAAAAAATGTAGGATTGTAATGCTAACTTTATATCAACAAAAATGAAGCATGCACCGATCATAAAATTGATAAGCCAAGAAGAAAGGCTAAGACCTTTACCACAGATGTGGCTTCGAATCGAGGCCTTTTCGTCAAGCTTGTCACACACAAGAAGACCCAGCACACTACCCAATGGTCGCACAACACTAGAAATCCCTCCTTGAAATTTATGTGCTCCATTGGCCGTTAGATAACAAGGCCGAAAGCCCACAAGCAGTGTGCATATCATTACTGCAGCCACACAGAGCCAAATCTTCGATAAATGCATCTCATACCATTCCACAAGTGTGCACCGGAATTCAATTGCAGTAAGTGCAAGTAGGTAAGACAGAATAAAGGATAGGATCATGCAGTTACCGAATGGGCAGTCCAGCAGAAAAGAGACAAATGCAAAGATGATTGTACACACATTGCGACGAGCCGAATCAAACCAGAGGGGCTCATAATCTAACAATACATGCCAGAAGCAAACAGTAGTAACAGCGGGAACTGAAATTGACGTCCTTCGACGACAAGGAGATCCTTGTGGTGATCTGTGTAGAACATCAGAATCCAGGGCGTTCTTGATTAGCGAGGATGCCATTAATGCTGTGCAAGTCACGAACATTAGGTATCTGATAAACCATACAAAAATTTTACACGGGTTCTAAATGGCCCTTTTTAAAAATAGGTAGATTGGTGATTAACGAATGCAATATAGTCAAATGGTTCGATTTTATGATAAGTTAATATCACCAAAATAGTCAACAAATTCAATGACTATTTTTTTTTATTAGATCAGATCTGTTATCGTCTCTACATAGATATATTAATGTTATATATAGCGATTGTTTTATGCGTTTAGTGAGGACAATAAGATGAATATGACTAAATGACTGCGGCCAAAAAAACGTCTTTATCGGAGATAGGCCAATGTACTTTTTCTAACAAATAAGAATTTATTTGGTACGTCACACTGGCCTCTGTTGGAATTCTTATTACTATCCTCAATAATCGATGTATTTTTGAAAGTAGCTTGTCATTTGTTATCATTTCAAGACGTTTTACAATTCTGTTCTGTTGCAAATGGCGATCTTAGAAACACTGTTGAAAAAGCGTCTTTAAAAATGATGCGTAATAAATACATTCTGGGGACTGGGTCTCGGCTACCGCTCAGTTTGTGACAGCTCAGCGTAGTTAGAAGTGGTTGTTTGGTTTTGCTATATATATAAAATTATTTTTCTTTTATTACTTACTAGTTAATTTACTCTAGCACTTTCTCAAGTTTTTCTTTCCATTCAAGTATGATGCTTACTCATGATAAATAAAGGCAAAAAAAACAGAAGCAGGCTCACAGTTTGGTAATTCTCAAGGCTACAATTAGAAGTAAATAGACTTTCAACAAGAAAAAAATAATTTTATCTATCGAAAAAAAAAGATCGGTGTCAACTTTGAACCTTTTCATTTTATAACTATAAAGTTTAACAGGTTATAGGTTCATTAGCGCTCCCCCACGTTCCTTTTAGGTGTAGTCGTCCAGACCATGATTTCATAGAATTGTTTATATTGTCAAAGAAATCACTTGTTTATGAATAATTTTGTCATTACTTCAAAAACCGAGAGGGTACATAGAGATGTTAAGGTCTTACAAACCCTTGTAGCGTGTTATTGTCCTAGATATAATTACATATCGTGACACCAACATACGGTGGCAAGCAAGCCCGTGGCAGAGCATTAGACCTGTGGTCAACGTAATTTTGATCTTAAGTGGCATTATAGCCAAGTGTACATAGTGGCAGAAATTCTCAAGGAATACGGTTCGTTTGAATAAGTAGAGCCATCAAGGCGTACAAACTGATCGAATCAACGAAACTATGTGCAAGTACGGTGTTGCTTCGAAAGTCATGGTACCATTCATTGTTATAAGATCCGCATTACCGTTCTAAGTAATGTGATAAAGCTCGACACACTACAAAATTGTTGGACCCGGTATTCGACTAATCCGGGTGAAAATACGAGAAGTCTGAATTGGAGACCTAAGGGAATGCTTACATACTGCAAACCTAGGTGGTCTCAATGCCGATGATTTGTAGGCAAATGAAAATTGTTTTAGAAGTAATAACTACGGTGAAACAACCGAAATTTAACAAGTAACTGCTTAAATTAACTAGACCGTTATCCTATTCCTAAGAGTACTGAGTCGACGGTAACAGATAATATCTTATTGTAAAAAAATACACCACGATAGGTTCTCGACAGATGAGTTATGACGGCCCATTAGATATTTATGTATGAAAGAACATCGGCCTAGAAGGAATATTTAGACTTTGAACATCTTTTGAGTTTGTTTTAGGAAGTTTTAGCTTGAGTTACATTTTTCTCAGCATTTTCACCTTTTTATATATAAACATCACTGTAACTAGCCTATCTTCCGAAGAAATTTTTGAAGATCTTGATATTGAGGAAATACGAAAAACTGGTGGATTATAATTCGGGTAAAAACAACTACTCGTCTACAACATTTTTTTAATCAAATATCGCCACTGTATTTGGGAACTGTCTATTTTATTACAGAATAAATAACGACAGACGCGATAAAGCTATCAGATTTGTTCGTTAAATGTGTAGAGACAGACTATTTAAATCTACAGTATCTATGTACAGCTGGTGCTCCCCGAATATAAAGTATACTTACCTGCCTCTAACAGCATTCCAGTAGAAGATGAGGGGTAGAATATACGGAGCGCACATAAAAAGCCGTGAGAACCACCATGAAATCTCACGAAGCGCGCTTTCAGGGTAAGCAGTGATTTCAAGTAAGATATCATCTATCCAGGAAAACCCGTTCGAAATTCGTCTCACCAAGAGGCTCATCTCCCTAACGTGGACGTATTTCGTTGTTCTAAGTTGATAATGCATTTCTATATTTTCTGTTTTTGTTAATTTATTAAAAGGCAGGCTACAAATCTTACAGCAGTTACGACTATTAGCATACAGGTGGAAGGATAATCGTTTTTACAGGCGACTTTGGGCTGTAAAAAGGCCATCTTTATTCCAAGGCGACAAGATCGCAAACGCAATCTCTTTGCTTTTGTAAGCACTAATTTAACATCACCGATCGACTCCAATAGCGTCATTTGGTTTGACCACTTATTACAAAAGAAAAGAATTCTTCTAAAATGGAGAAGACGTAATCTACGGGTACAAAAAAAGAAAACTCTATTAATCTAAATGTGCACTTATGTTTTGTGGTAACAAGCGCCGTTTATATATGTCAGCAAAGCTAGCAAGTAAGCTGATGATGCATTCCCAAAAACAGTTGTCGAGAATAGACATAATACACCAATTTGGCTTCGAATAATCAAAGTGGTACCAAGTGGTATGAGCACTTTATAGCCCACATTTGCGCGGTTGGAAAGCTTGAGGCTCTGGCTTATACTAAGGTATGACTCTAATCTAAGCTTAACAGCTTGCGTGAATTTGAAGGTATGGAATTGGTGCGCCTGTGCAAGACACCGGAACACAGATGGATGCCGTGTCTGTTTCGGCATTTGGAACACCTCAACATGTGGCCCTCAATTTGGACCGCAAACCAGACTCCTTAAAACTCAGTAAGGGCTCCTGAATGTTGTGTGGAATGTTGATTTGAACAATAGCGAAGGCTAGCTTTTCCGTTGTTACTGGCATCATGGCGTAACTTCCACTTCGGTGAGCTCTTTCTGAAGGATAATTATGTGCCAAGCAATAAACAAAAAGGTATATATCGATACTAACCGGGTTGATGCTACGACCCTAAGCTAGGAAAGGCTGGTTTGTTCTCTCTAAATTGTCAGATTTTAACACTGGCCCTATTCAGTTTACAAAAAGCAAGGATCCGGAACCTCTTAGTAGATACATTAGCAGCGCCGTACAATACGATGACCACGAATCCAGAAGGCAAGGTTGTCGTAAACATTCTCGAAAAGCAGCTTCTCTACATGAAAAGCGGCATCAAAGTGCGTTGGCCTGAAAGATACACGACGATAGGCATACCGAAGCTTTCTAATGCACCCACTTGTCATCCTCAAGGTTCGCCTTAAATTGAAGTAGGTATACATGGGCCTGATTGGACTTACCTGTTATAGTGATTGCTCGACGAATATGGGAACCTGTCTGAGAAACTAAAAAAGTATCCAGACCGCATCTTTTCCTTTACACGGTTTCGACCGGCAATCAAGCCCTATTGTATGCACGTTTCTGATAGAATATTTTGGCGTTGAAGGGCACTAACTGCTGGACGACGATGTAGTAAAGCCGTCTTCTGGCTTTAATGTTTACCTACCGTTCTCTTATGAATGGATCGATTTAGGTTGTGCCTAGATTATCGGAGATTGGTGGTCACCAAAAAAAAAACGGCTTTCTTGCCACAAAGCGATGATACACTCGACATGCTAGGGAAGTTTAAATATATGTTATCCTTGACCCAAAAAATAATTGTCAACGGATGTTCATAGCGCCTAAGGGTTGAAAAGACCTTCATAGTCCTAACGACTTCTCTCGATTTAAGAATGTTTTTACCTAGCTAGTGAATGCCCCAACAACTAATAAATCGTATTCTGAATAAATTAAACGTTTAATGTCCGATGATATTGTAGTGGTATAGTGGGATTTGCAACTTTTCGGCTGGTGCTTTCTGTTTTCTTTGTTGCGACAAAAGCCGACCCCATCCTTCGTATGAGTCCAAGACCATGTCGTTTTTTTGAACTCTCAGAGTGGCGGCCAGCATTGAACACCTAGTCGCTGCGTGATCAAATTCCGCAGGGAATCCTGCGGACGACGCTTCCAACAAAGACAGCTCCTTGAAACTACACCCCTCTTGCACCAGCTGTTTAATCCAGAGAGCTCATCTTTCTACGCCATCCTCGTCAACAGCCGAAAACGTTACCAAAGTTGCTGGATGCGAACGTGGATGGAACGTAGGAAAAGCGAATCCTGTGGGATATTCGGCGTTAATGCAGGCCGACACTGGTGCCTCCTACTGAACATCAGGAACAACTGGGCGTGAAATGGAGATAGCCCAACTTGATGTATATTGGCTTTAGCGTTTAGGCGGTCCACTCAATCTTCTAATAAGCAATTCAAAGCAATACATTTCCTGCATATGCGTTTTCAATGCAGGTGAATCTCGAAACCGGTCAGCAAGCCCTAATAGACGTTTGGGCCAGTCGTGGGCATGGACACCGCTTCTTTATTATTTTTAGCAATTCTTACAGCAATCATAATAATTAGGTTCATTGCTAGTTTGCACTCAAACGGCAATAATTATACTCAGCTCGCACGAAATATGAAGTCTTACGGCCATCTGTCGAATTACGATATATCGAGATATAGACGATTATATATAAATAACATTAATAACAGTAACAATAACTGTAAAAATAACCATGAGGATACTAACAATAAAGAGTACAGAATATCACACTGACTGAACAGATCGTGTTAACAAGACAACTTTGCCACGTCGATAATCTGCTGTGCGGGTCTTTGCGGCATTGCCAAGGGGCGGGCGGCCTTTAAGAGTTAAGCGAAATGCCACACGAGGGGCAATTCTAACTGATCACTGTACCAAAAAGGCCACTGCTCTTGCGTACTCGAATAAAAAGAAATTTCGACGAGAATCAAAATGACGCACACTGCGCTTCGCTTGACGAGAGGTTACAACAATGTAAGTCATTCGTATACGTCGCGTACGAATGACTTGCATTACTACAACAGTGACCGAACTTTGCATCGCCAAACAAAAAACGCACCGGAAACGAAATTGAGCTACGTCGCCTAAAACTGTAGCAATGCCTCTAACTGACTACTAAAGAAAAGTGTGCAATGTCGCTTTGCACTTATATGCAGTTATGAAGGCTAGTGGTTCAGCTTACTTGCTTTATATGCGTCAATCAACGCGGAAATGTATAAATTTGTTATTCTTTATGCATAGATCTGGATTGTCTGAAAACTATGGACACAGCGCAGCTCGGTGGGCATTGTTGTTACTCAAGCCGAGCGGCATCACCTGCGGTATGCTGGTTTTAGTATATAGTGGAGGTGGTTAACTTTTCCTCTGCAGAATAAACACCTCTTCAGACCGATGTGCTTATCGGGGGGCTGAAATCGGATGGTGGCGATCAGTATTGACAGTATTACGTTTAGTAATTGTAGTAACACCCAAGTTGATTAGACATACGAGACAAGGTTAAATCGAAAAATCAACTGACTTTCAGTTGAAGAACAAATTTATAGTATTGCTTGGGGTTCTGGTTTTTTTTTTAAAATTATCCATCGAAACAAATATTAAATAGCCTGCTGCTTGATATGTATCAACGTTGATTTAGCAAAAGAACTAATAGTGTTTGCTCAATGCTTAACTGAAACCTTCATACTACGGTTTAAAGCTAACAAAAAAGACGTAGAAGCTCAATAAGCTTTACAATGCTGTCTATACAAACGTATATGATTGTTTACAATAGAAGCTCGTAATATATATGAGCATGGCTGATCTATTTTGAATCATCTAGCAACAAATACTATTCAGTGATTGCTAAGTACTGTTGCTTTGATGCTCCGGTTGTCAACATAACGCCGCGTTAGCAAAATCCATCAAAAATTCTATAATAGAATGTTTATTGAATTCAAATTACTGATTTCGTAATTCAAAGTTGCTTGAAGTTATGTTTGAGCACTAATCTTGTCTATCTACAGCACTGTGAAAGTCGTTTTTACGACTACGTAATAGAAAACATTTGACCTTGCCGATCCCTAGGTGATATTTGAATGAATGGTTGATCCAAAATACGAGCTACCATAAGCCAGTATTTATTAAACGGTAAGTATCCACGTCCATTGGAATCGACCGGTTTGAAAGCAAAATATATCATGCATTGCAATTGTTGCGTTTGTTCACTACGTAACTTAAAAGTTAAGCTACTGAGAAGTTTCTTACAAAAATTGTTTTCATTGCGACAATATCGTTTCTAAATGACAGGCACATCTGCTTGTTGTGATGATGGTGGAATTTATGGGAGAAATGTAAAAACAAAAAAATTGTTGACTCACTCATAACACTTCTACAAGGAGGGTCTGCCAGAAGCGTTACCCTTTTCGGAACAACGACACGAACTCTCTACGAAGGGCAAATCTGCCACCTACTTCAATCGACAGGTACCTCAATTAAAAAAAAAATAATTTTTGCTTTTCTTCGTTTTTTCACACAGAGTAACATATTTGATTACGTTGTGTTTCTCTGCTAGTTTCAACCAATGGGTGCTAATAGTTATCTCGACGTATATTCATCTGGAAATCCCACCGCGGCTAAATTCGGAAGGGTTTTAATGCTTAAGTGACTGCGAATAGCAAGCTCTTACCTGTTTTATGTACGTTATTTTTTGGTATAAAATGTTTCATAATCCAACTTTTATTTACTATTCATTTGCTAAATAAATAACAACCATAAAATGATTTCACAAATATTATTAAAAAAAAATAATGTACTTATTGAAATTTAGAATATTTCGAAATATATTGGGATTTTATCACATATTTAGCGGAATTTTCTACAGAAAAGTTATTCGGTATGAGTGTGCGCATTGTTTGATTATGTCGAGTGTAACTGTAATAAAGGTTCTACATGAAATTCATGAAAAACATAAAGACAATGTTAGCCAAACATTTTTTAGTAGTCGAAAAATATAAACGATAACAGAAACGTGTAAGATTTCTTTGCGTAAAACAAAAGTATCTATTATCGACCAGAACAGCCTTTAGTAGTCTACCCGTAAAAACGTGAGGTTACTTTTGAAAAAGTTTTCACGATTTCTTTAAACTCGGCTGTTTGCGTTGTAAGTGAGAAAAACTATTCGTAAAGCGCGTTATGTTCTGTCTCTCCTATCAGCCGAAC